GGAACCCCCTTAGGGGATCTATTTCTTATATCCTTTTGGGGGTCTGGGATGCGGCACCCATGAAGAGCGACGAGAAGTGGGCCGTGTTTCTCGGAAGATCCGCGAACCGAACCGAGGAGTCCGCTGAATTTTGAAGCACAGCCCCCTGGCTCGCAGCCTCAAGCATGGGGCCCCCGCTTGCCAGTGAGCAAGATCTGCTGGCCCATGTCCTGCTACAAGTCTTAAGGTACCTATATATATATATATATATATATATATATATATGTATATGTGTGTACATACATATATATATATATATAGGGCTAAATACTAAAACAGAGGAATTTATTTAATGGCCAGACTAGGGCTTCGGGGCTCCGTCCGAAGAAACCTGACCGCTTCAGTCAATTTGGCGCTTCACCTGTGAAAGCTCACCGGGCCTCGCATGGCCATCCGAGGAAAGTTGATGGAAGCCCTGCTACAGCAATGTCCCTTCCAACTCCTCACCTTGTTTGAACCCTAGACCCTAGACTCTGAACCCTAAGCCCTGAACCCCTAGACAACCTCCCGCAATTCCATGCTCCACTCCCGGCCGTGGCAACCCAGTGACGCGTTCCTAAACCCTACTTGGAGGTTCATGGGTAGTTATAAGTGGGGTTATAAGTCCCCTCAAAGGGGTTATATTTATAGTTACCCTACTTATAACCCTACTTATAACTACCCATGAACCTCCAAATATAACCCCTAAAGTTCCTAACGTCTCTCAAGCTGTCCAGCCGTCACGTCGGGACCAAAGCACCCCGGACAGACTCTTCCAGGCCACAGAATATGCTTCAGTGTGGTACAATAAATACTAGTTTTTTTTTACGATGTTGCACTGTAGTTATACTGTAATTTACTAAAAAACGGACTACAGACAGTGCAGAACATGCTATGACATACTATCTGTCTATCTATCTATCTATCTATCTATCTATCCATCTATCTCTCTGCATCTTCGGAAGGAGAAAGTCGTGAAAACTGGGAACTGAAGTATAACTCCATTGTGAGAAGTATAGGGGCATACCGTCAATGATTCAAAGCAAGCATGTTCTTCAGGGCAAAGCGCAAGCCTGCATCAGCTCACTGTCGTCGTCTGCCTGGACGAACGCTCAGGGGGCTCAGAGGGGCTCAGGGGCGGCTCCCGACTCCGGGAGAAGTGTCCCAAGCCCTGCAGCCGCAAGTCAGCAACCCGGATGAAGGCCCTCTCCGACACAAACCCACCCGCGCAGTCGGCTGCGAAGGAAAATGCCGGGGAGCTCGAAGCCCAAAAGCGAAGACGCTGCCCCTAGGGACGCTCCACAGCCGCCCTTCGTCTTCCTGACCCTGCCTGGCGGAACATCTTCCCCTTCAACATCGCCTTGGCCTTTGCCAGCTCCTCCTGCACCGATGCTCAGCTCCAAGCTTTGGAGGGTTTGGCGCAAGTTTGGGGCTTCAAGGCCTCCTTCTGCCTTCGATTCTCTGCGAGGATACTGGTTTTTGAAGGAAGGAGGCGCAGGCTTCTCATCCAGCAGAGCTGCGGACACTGCAGTTTCGCACATGTGAGATTGCCACTTGCGGCAGTGCTTCTTGCTTGCCTGAAAGCCACTTTCGTCTAGACATAAACTGGCTTGGCGTATGTTTATTCTCCAGCGCAAGGGTTTTTCGAAGTGTAAAACTTGCTGCTGGCTCAGCTCTGAAGCCTCGGTAGAGCCCGCACTCAAAGAGCCTCAACCCCTAAACCAAAAGCCCCCCTGCTGTCCCCAAAGCAAAACAAGAGCCCCAAAAAGTCAACTGCTGTCCCCCACACCTGCCTTGCTAACACTGGAGAGGCCCTTGAGGGCAGCTGCCATGGCCATAGCCATCTCGGAAGCCTTGGCCGAAGGACCCAGAGACTCCAATACCCCTTAATTAAGGAAAATACCTTAAATCATATTAGGGATCCTATTATCATAAAGTATATTCAGTTTAGGGTTTAGGGTTTAAGGTTTAGGGTTTAGGGTTTAGGGTTTAGGGTTTAGGGTTTAGGGTTTAGGGTTTAGGGTTTATATTCCTTAATTAAGGGGTAT